CTCATTAATTAAATCATTCGTAATTAAATTTTATTTCTCATTTATTACAGTTCTTCACTTAATATTATTAAAATTATTTCACATCATCGATATGTAAGAATTGGGATGTACATGTGTTACGAGAATTTTTAATTTTTCTTTTTTTACATGTTTTTTATTTTTGTACATGCACATTTTGTGGGTGGAGTTTTCTATTTTTAACCCTTTTGCTTTTAGTGCTGGAGATGGAGCAGACGGGGGAACTGGTGACACCTGCTACCCTCCCAAAGCTAGACAGCAATCAGAGACACGCCCTCAGCTTAGCAAAGAAATACGCTCAAGAAATTACAGCAAAACATGTGAGTTAATTAAAATGGGTGTGGTCAATCAAGTGGGTGTGGTTTTGTAATTATTTTGATGTACATGTATATAGCTCAATTTAATTTTTTTCAATAAATGTACATGTGTTTGTTGGTGGCTATTTTTAGTAACGTGTTATGTGATTTTGTATCTATTTTTAGCAACAAGCGAAGCAGAGTGAAGTACAAGTTCAGCAGATGCTGTCATTGCAGGAGGCAGCCAACCAGCAAAGAGCACTACTACTGATGAGCCGGTGAGATACATGTATGTACATGTAATTATTTTATTGTAAATGTAATTTTTGTGCCATTTGCTTTAAAATTTTTATATTCACAACTACACATACATGTGCATGTGTATTTTCAAAAATAACTCTTGGGAGAATTTTGATGTAATCTTTTTTCTCTCTCTCTCCATTCCAGTATATACATTGGTGGCATTAACTTTGAACTATACTAGGATCACACTGACTTTGTCAACTTAGATTTTGAATAACTTTCTTATTTTACATGCTAAAGACAGCGGTTTTTTGCTGTTGTATTTTTCTCTGAAGAGCCGGTATTTTGATATATGATACAACTAGAGCGCAGTTGTAGAAAAAGGGGAAAGAAATCAAAGCACTTGGGCACTTAGAGAGCACTCGATGCAATTACTGCCGCCCACGTGCGGTGACCGCGTAGGCGTGTACAACAAAATGGCGACCAACTGTACACCACATGGACTACCATGAACAAGAGATATTAGCAGGAAAGAAGGCATGAGGCAAGATATAACTAACAAGCGTAACAGTGTAAAAAATATTCCTATAATTGATTTCACCACCTTGCAAGTATAACTTTGTCATTATTAAGACTTATAAAGGTTCTCTCTACCTTATAATGCTTCTAGAGAAGTCTTTAGACAGTATCTCTATGTTCTCTTGCTGTTAGAAAGCTCTTAACTTTGTCCCATGTGTAAGCCGCCATTTTGTTTGCCGTGGCCACACCCACTCACGTAAAGAAGCGTGGGCGGATGGTTGCTAAGGCTTGTTATTTCTCCAATACAACGTGTATAGAAGAAATGTAAGTGTGGACATACAAATAAATATATATATATACATAGCGCGAAGGTGAAATCAATTATAGGAACGACCTGGGGGCTACGCCCCCAGGTCGTTAAAAAGACATGAAAAAATGAGTAAAGCTAACTTATTGGACTCTTTTTGGCCACATAAAGAGTTGGAAATGAAGAGAAGAACGATATAAACTATAAACAGGTAGCTATAATGAACCATATCCTTTAGTTCACTTTCTTTAAGCCTAGGATTTGTACATGTACCATGAAAAAACAATAATTTTATACTATGGAACTTATACTTAAACATGAGGAAAAATGACAACAGATCATAGGAGCGATGGGGCTGACTAAGTTAACATTTTTAGATCTAGTTGGGGTCTTCTGCTGAGTAAGAATGACTGTCTTGATGGAAGGGAACCATTTTGTGCACCTGAATTTCTTGCTAATGTTAGTAGTGAGTCCAGTGATGAGTCCGATAGTAATGAAGCCTATAGCGAAGGTGTCACTTCAATCCTACCTCTCTAAATGATGCTGTGGTTGGTAATGACAATTATAAATGTGCCTGACTGATCATATTACTTGTATTCAGTGTATTTTAAAAATAGTAATAATTTATAATAAAATTTGTTTCATAATTATATTCATTGTGGGTAAGCTATTATAAACAAACACTTATGTGACAATTAACAGCCACTTTCATATGACAACTACTCCTGCATTTATAATGAGCTGATCCAAGTCAGTGTGACCCTACTATAGGGGAAGAGGCAGTCAGAGTTGCTTTCTCTCCATTTGGTACCATAAAGACTATCAAC